ATTCTGACCTCATCCTTGCTTTTTTTGGTCAAAGAATTATGGGAGTCAGCTAGGATACTGCTTTTTTTAAAAAAAAAATTAGTAAGAGAGGAGGGGGAGAGAGAGGAACATTGATTTGTTGTTTCACTTATTTATGCATTTATTGGTTGATTCTGGTGTGTGCCCTGACTAGGGATCAAACCCACAACCTTGGAGTATTGGGATGATGCTCTAACCAACTGAGCTACCTGGCCAGGGCAAGAAAAATAAATATTAATCAAACCTTTAATGGTTTATTTTTAATTAGGTCCAAACTAAATGACATGATAGATGCTATTCCAAAAAGTAAAAAGAACAAGAGATGTCAGTTGCACTCCTTAGATACGCACAAACCAAAACCTTTGGGGTAAGTAGAATTGAATATCAAGATACTTTGTCATTGTTAAGATTATAAATGTTGATTACGTTTAGTAAAAAGAAAACACTGAGTTTTATTTCTTTAATTGGTTATACATAACAAAAGTCAAAATACGTTTCCTATTTATGTAGGCCTTTTTGATACTATACAGGTTCTCAATATAGATTTGATTTTTTAAAAAAAGTTTGTTTATGTAAATGTTTCAGAGGAAAGAGGTGGAGATGTTTGTGGAAATTTATGTAGCCAATATTAAGTTTTTCAAAGTACTGATATCATTATTTAATATTCATAATATATAAATTATTTTTCTTGTCTTTCTTATCCTAATAACTTATAAAGATTAAAAAAAAGGCTTGAATCAGTTATAGCAATATTTATGTAACTAATTTGCAGTTTTCTTCTTGGTTAGGTGATATAATGCCCAAGGCTGCTTCTGCCTTCATCTCCTAACACAATATCACAGTTGCCCCCTACAAAGTTGCTTGGGGTTGTAGGTGGTAAGGAGAAGCCATGGATTTTGAAGAGTTTGTAAGATGTAACTTTAGTGTTTGAAAGAATTGGATAATGTAAAAACTATACTTCTGAATTAATTTAAAAAACTAGCTTTGAATATCTCCTTAGTAGTATTGACATCATTGTATAAACATTTTCCTCCCTTGATAAAAAGACTTGGATGCCAAAGTGGTGTTAATAATCTATTAACAAGACTTTTTCTGTAATCAGAAACAAACATTTTTTAAAAAATGTTATTATGAAAACTGTCAAACACATAGAAAAATAGACTACATGGATTTCCTTCCCCCCAAATACCTTTACCCAGATTAAGTAGTAGTTATCAATATTTGCCACATTTGTTTTTCTCATCTATGTTTTTCTTTGCTGAAGCACTTAAAAACAAGTCAGGTATCATGTTGTTTTACTCCTGCATATTTCCACATGTATCTCTAAATATAAATATATTTTATTTCATAATGATATTGCTATTATAACAGCTAACAAAATAAACTGTAATAATCCAATACCTAGTTTATAGTCAGATTTTTTACATCTGTCTCAAAAAGTGTCTTTTTACCTTGATTTGCTAGCATCAGGATCCAAACAAAAATCACACATTACATAATGTCTAAATGTGAGAGTACTGTGAATCCAGTAAATAAACTAAAGTGGTTATCTAAGGATAACTGTTATTCCACATAACTGATTTAACAATATCCTTAAAGAATTCCTGACTTTGTGAATGCAGAATTCAGTCTGATTTTCTCATTAGACAGTAACCTTTACTGACCTTTTGGCTAAAGCTACAGAAGAGAATGTTATAATAAAAAGCCCGCCTTCTGTTTTGTTGTGCATATTCATTAAGGTACTAAAAGCAACAGGTTACCCAACATCTTTCATATGTGTTCATTGCCACCTTCCTTCAAACACCAGTTCTTCCACTTTTGCTCTGGATTACATCTCTCTTGTTCTCAGTGACTTTGTATTATTAGTTACTTTTATTAAGTTGACATACAGCTCTGTTTTCTATCCTTTAGCTTAAGGCAAAACAAACTTCCACAGAGTTTATATCCCCTTTCACCTACAGCCCACCACATGGAATGCCAAGTGTTTTAGAAGGTTGTTTGCCGAGTTATGGAATAGTATGAATTGAGTTAGTTGATCTTATTCGGTTATTTCCACATGATATATGGAAAGCAGACCAGGGAGTACTGTTTGCTTAGCCAAGACTCCCTCTCTTCCACTTTGGATGGTCACTGCCATTGTATACTACTAGAGGCCCGGTATTCATGCATGGGTGGGGTCCCTAGGCCTGGCTGGCCAGCAAGGCCAATCGGGGCCAGGCTAATCAGGGCTGGGCTGGAGAGGAGGTGATGGTTGCCACACGGGCATGGAAGGAACTGACGCTGGACGCCGACATTGCCATTGTTGGCACTGTGCGGGTCCCCGCCTCCCCCCACTTCCCTTACTGACACGCTGCCATTGTGGCAGGCCTATTGCTCCCCGGGGGGAGGGACAGAGCATGGGCAGTTGGCCACTGGCCCCAAGGAGAGAGCTGACTCTTGGCCCCCCTGGGAAAGGGGCCGCATTCCCTGCCACCCACCCCCAGTTCCCCGTTGCAGCCTCGGGACCGGCCCCCCAATCGGGGCCTGCCAGCTGATGGGAGAGACTGGGAGGTTGGCTGTGGGAGTGCACTGACCACCAGGAGGCAGCTCCTATGTTGAGCGTCTGCCCCCTGGTGGTCATTGCACGTCATAGCAACCAGTAATTCTAGTGGTTCCGATCACTTAGGCTTTTTATATATATAGATGATTCTCCATTTATATATTTCCACTGTTTTCACCCCTCCCCTTTTCTGCTTAGACTTTATCCAGGGAAAGTATAATCCATTCGATTAGGTTTCAGCCTAACCAATTGCAACAATCCAATTTAGTCTTCCTGAGAGTTTTCTCATAACCATGCAAGTAAACCCAAGTTTTTTTGTCTGGGAGTGAGTTTGAGATTTGAAAGAAAGGTCTAGGCCAGAGTTATAGGCCTCTGGCTGATGATCAGAGGTTACCTTAGAGAATGAGATTTAAAATCACCAAGAGGAAGAGTAGACTAAGAGAAAAGAACGCTGAGGATTCAATATAGTAGTAGAAAAGTCAGTAAGAAAACTTGAGAAAGAATGGCCAGAGAGGTAAGCTGACGACATTGGTGATCTTGATGAGCAGCTCTGTGATTGAGGGGAAGCAGAATCCAGATTGGAATGGGTAAAAAAGTGAATGCATTATAAGGTTGTAATGGATTAAGCTGTGAGTGGAAAGTATAGGAGTAGAACAAGGAAGTGGAAAGACATTTTCAAAAAGTTTCATTTTGCAAGGAAGGATTGATATAAAAACATTTGGTCTAGAGAGATTATGGATAAAATCTTTATTTGAGCTGTAATCTTTTAAAAAGCTTTTTTAAGACTAACGCTTTTACATATTTGTAGAATAGTCATTCGGCAGCACTGATTTCATGAATGTTTTCCTCAATTATGAGAACTTGAGTTCAAGAGTTATTTAGTTTTAGGAGATTATGGATCACTCAAGCATAATTAGAAAAAGGAAATATGGGAGTTGAGAGAAGAAGGATGTCATTTGGGAGGCAGAGCAGGAGTTGAGGTTATGTTTTAAAAATGAGCACTGAACCTTGACCTGAGCCCTTATGAGAGGGAATAGGGAGCTGAATTATATGTATGGCCTTACATGGGCAGGTGGTTGAAAAATACCTACTTAGCTATATAGAGTAGGTTAAGTAAAGATTCTGAGGTTTTTTCATCTCAAGCACCCAAAGCAAGGACTGTAGTGAGGATCTGCAGAAGAACAGGGAGCCAGTTATTCAGAATTATGAAAAATTAAGACTGTCATTGAATGGAATGTACACATACATTTCTTTTGGAATGCATACTGCAGTTAAGCAAAATGCATGACAGCACCACATTGAAACCCGTGGAGGAGAGTCTAAGTTTAAGAAAAATTATTTGTATAGTACTTATTACTGATTTAGGCTGTTTAAAGTATCTTAGTATGCTATTTTTATTTTAGTAACTATAAAAATTTGTTTACTAACTATAATTAGATTAATCTGTGACTTTCCCAGCTTAAATGTGAAGGTAGATAAACATTTTGTTGCTTGGACTAGCTACAAAATTACATTGAGTAGATCAAAACTTGTTATAATTTTCAATTTGTGGAATATTGATCTATGTTTATAGGTGAGAATATAAATTTTTTCAGCTCTTTTCACTTTAAAACATTCCAAGTACATTTACTCATAAAATGCTTAGTATATTAACCAGTATTACCTTGATAAATATAAATGTTAAATTGTATCAGGTAAACTTAATAGTTGAGCAGGAGTTTTTATGTAAAGATATAAGCACATGTTTAACATTTTAATATGGTTAAAAGGAATATACAATTGTATATACAAATTTTCAAACTCATTTAATATTTTAATGTATTAAAAAGTGCATGATTTTAATATAGACTATAGAAATTATTCCTTCAGATAATCTCAGTGTCACTAAGCTTTGTACTATACTGTACTACAGTGAAGGGAGCAGTAGCAGTGTCAGTTCAGAGAAGTTAAGTACAGATAAGAGAAGTAGTGAAGACCACAGGAAGGACAGCAAGTGTAGGATCATTTTGCATTATGGACCTTTCCAGGGAACAGCCAGGTAAAATCAAGCAATACTTTACTCTGCTTTTTTTTTTTTACCGTTATATATTTCTCCTTCTTATTAATACTTTTTCTTTCTGCAGAGGTTGTTGGATGGACGTATGGGAACTAATGTCCCAAGAATGCAGAGATGAAGTAGTTTTAATTGACTCTAGTTGTCTTTTAGAAACACTAGAAACATACCTGCGAAAACACAGGTAAGTATAAAGGTCATCATTGTATAGTTGAAAGGTGTCTTAGCTGTCATCCAGAGTAGTCACTGACCTCCAAATAATAGTACTCCAGCCTTTCCATTAATACCTGGCCCTAGGCAGAGCTTAATGTTAAGGTAGACAATTCTTTTACGGGATGAATCTGTGTTAGCTTTCGTGTTTAGCCACCATCTCCTTTTTGGGGGGTAATTTTTATCTTAGTTCCCTGTCAGCCTTTCAAGAAACAAAATGATTGAATTGAGTAAAGTGTACTTAATTTAGAAACTCTACTCTTTGTTTTTATAACAGAAGCATTTCATGATGTCATTTTCAAAATTAAATTAGCAGCTTTAATTTAGTAATATTTTGAACTTTTTCTATATTTTCTTCTATGATAATATTCTATAAATTTTTTGTCAAAACAAAAATAGAGTTGGAATTTCTGTGCTTCATGTACTATAAAAGTACAGATTTTTTAGGATGTCAATAACATTAGGAAATTTGCAGGGAGGGGAGAGTGCAGTAGGAAAGGAAACTGGTGAGGGAGCTATTTAAAGATGGCATTCTTGGGGGGAATTGATGTCATCTATATATATAAAAAGCCAGTGACCTTAACGCTGTAACGACTGGTTGCTATGACGCCCACTGTGGCCCCGGCTGATGGCCTCTCCCACCTAGATCGAGGATGGGGCAGCCGGCCAACCTCCTGTAGCCCCTCACCTTGGCTGCCCCCCCACCCCCCAATCAGGGGTGGGGCCAGCTGGCCAACCACCCACGGCCTGTCCCCCTGGTCAGCTCCCCCCACCCCATAGCCCTTCTCCACGGCCAGCCCCATCCCCTATCAGCCCCCACCACCCTGATAGGCAGCCTGTGGCCCCTCCCCACAGCTGGCCAGGCCCTGATTGGGCCCAATTGGGGTGGGGCGGCCGGCCAACATCCTGCCATCTCCTCCTGACAGGCCCGGCCGGATCTGCCGATTGGGGCAGGGCTGGCCAGACCTCACCTGTGCACAAATTCATGCACTGGGCCTCTAGTATCTAATAAATTATGCCTCTTCCAGTGTCAATGAAATTTTTCTCCCCTTTGTTTTCTTCTAGGAGTTTTATAGTTTCAGGTCTTAATGTTTAGGTTTTTAACCCATTTTGAGTTAATTTTTTAGTTTTACTTGTCAACGTTATTACCTCTGTTTATCAAGTGGGCTTAGAGCTTCTAGTTTAACATGTATTCATTTCAGGAAACACAGTTATTTACTATTGGGCCAGAAAGAAGTGTGTATCAAACTAATGCATGGCGTAGGGTAAATACTATAGTAAGAAGAGTAAATCAAATCAGAGGAACACAGAGGAAGTTTGAATTCTAGTTATGGGAATTGCAGAAGGCTTCTTTACACACACACACACACACACACACACACACACACACACAATATTTGATGATTTTTAAAGAGGAAGGGAGAGCGAGAGAGAGAAATATTGATAGCGGAATGTTGCTCATTCCCCACCGGGATCAAGCCTGTAACTTAGGCCTATGCCCTGACCCGTAATCAAACCAGCAACCTTTTGGTGCATGGGATGACTCTCAACCAACTGTGAGCCACACTGACCAGGGCACAAAAGGGTTCTTTAAGAATGAACTTGATTTAGGCAAATGGAGCTTTAGCTATACTCATGTAATATCTAAATTTGTATTTACCTTACATGTATGTGTTGTCCATTGTGTAAGGAGGCTTTTTAAAAACATGCTGTGCAGCCCTTGCCTGTTTTGCTCAATGATTAGAGCATTAGCCTGTGGACTGAAGGGTCACAGGTTTGATTCCAGTCAAGGGCATGTACCTCGGTTGCAGGCTCGATCTCCAGCCCTGGTTGAGGCACCAACCAATCGATGAGTGTCTTTCACATCGATGTTTCTCTCTGTCTCTCCCCCTCCCTTCCACTCTAAAATTAAATGGGGGAAAAATTCTCAGGTGAGGATTAATTTTTTAAAAATACTGTTAGGTCTGGGTCATTTTCTAGTACACTGTTATATTCCTCATGAAATAATTACACAGCCAGTTCTTAATTTTGAGGTTTTTCTTTCAACAGGTTTTGCACTGATTGCAAAAATAAAGTCCTCCGAGCATACAATATCCTTATTGGTGAACTTGATTGCAGCAAAGAGAAGGGCTATTGTGCTGCACTTTATGAAGGTTTGCGGTGCTGTCCACATGAACGACACATACATGTTTGCTGTGAAACGGACTTCATTGCACATCTTTTGGGTCGTGCTGAGCCAGAGTTCGCAGGAGGGTATGAGTATGTAATTTGCTAGAATGGGCTATCTAGCGCTTTGCTTCATTTTATTATTGAAAGTTTATTTTCATCACCTTCTGCATTAGTACATATAATATGCATAAATTAAAGTGTGCCTGTAAAAATTTGCTTTCTTTAAAATATGCATTTCTTAATTTACTAAGTAAAAATAGGGAGAATGTGTTCTGTGGTGTTTGGTTCAGTCCTTTGCTCCTTGTTGCTTGAAGTAGGCAGACTTTTCTTTTGCTTTCGTTATTATAGATGATCATTTTCATTTGAAAATGATTAGAAGGGATAGTTTTCCTCCTTCATCCATGCATTTTCATATTTAAATGTTGTTTATAATGATGGTTTCTGCATAGGAAGTCAGGCCTTTGCAGCAGGGG